CATTTGGCAGTTACTAATTACAGAGTGCCTTTTCTGTCCCAGGCACTGTTTTAGGCACTTTGGATACACTTTGGATATTTGGAACATGGTAGAGAATGCTTTCTGCCTTTTTGGAGTTTATTACTAGTGGGTGGGGACAGATAAAAGTAAAAATACTGACTAAATTAAATGGCATGGAGGAGGATGAAAAGTACTATGGAAAAATAAGACAGACTAGAGCAAGGTAGGCAATCAGAAATTCTGAGGGCAGAATGGCGAGTTTCAGTTTATAATACCAAATAGCGTCGTCAGGTATCACTGTGAAGGTAAGATCAGACACATGATTTGAGGGCTGCCTGGCTTGTTCAGTTGGTAGAGCATGGGACTCTTGATCTTTGGGTTGTGAGTTCAAGCCCCATATTGGGTGTAGAGATTACTTAAAAATAAAACCTTAAGACAAATAAACAACAACAACAAAAAAGAAACAAGACTTGGAAGAGGTGAAGGAATTAGCCATGTGGGTGTCTTGGGGAAACACATTCCGGGCAGAGGAAACACCAGTGAAAGCCTCTAAGGTGGAAACTTGCCTGGCTTGTTTAAGGGACAGCAGGAGAGAACAGTGTGGAGCAGAGAGGATAATGAGTGATGAGCTCAGCTAGTTATTATGTCCGAGGAAAACTGGAAGCCATTACAGGGTTTTGGGCAGAGAAGCAGCATGATGTAATTTACATTTTTGTCTAATGTTTTATTCTGAATGAACTTCACTCTTACAAAAGTTACAAAAAGTAGTACAGAGAGTCCCTGTATACCCTTTACCCAACTTCCTTCAATGTTAATACATTATGTAGCCACAGTGTAATTATTGAAACAAGGAAATTGATATTGATGCAATACTTACTCTACAGACATTATTTAAATTTTCCCAATATTAGAAATAATGCCCCCTTTCTAGATCCTTTTCTACACTCTCATACTACTGCATTTATTTGTTACCAGTTTTGAAGACTACTAGCTATTTATTTTATAGGATGGGTCTCAAATTTCGTCTGATGTTTTGCCATGATCAAATTGATGTGTAATTTTTGCAAGACTAATGCAGAAGTGATGTGCCCTTCTGGGTGGATCATGCCAGGGTGTACATGATGTTGATAGGCTTCATTACAGTGATGATCACTTGATTAAGGTGGTACCTGCCAGATTTCTGTGATATGAAGTTACAATTGTCAATTTTTAAACCGCCAGTATATTGTGGGGAGATCCTTTGAGAATATGTTTCTTATATTATTTTCACCAACTAGATTGATTTATTTATTTATATAAATACATATATTTATATAACACCCAGTGCTCATCCCAACAAATGCCCCCCCAATGCCCATTACTGATTTTCCCCTCTCCCTCGCCCCCCACCCCCATTAACCTTCAGTTTGTTCTCTGTATTTAAGAGTCTCTTATGGGTTTGCCTCCCTCTCTGTTTGAAACTATTTTTTACCTTTCCCTTCCCCCATGGTCTTCTGTTAAGTCTCTCAAGTTCCTCATATGAGTGAAAACATGATTATGTTTCTCTGACTGACTTATTTCACTCAGCATGATACCCTCCAGTTCCATCTATGTTGTTGCAAATGGCAGGATTTCATTCTTTCTCATTGCCAAGTAGTATTCCATTGTATGTATAAACCACTTCTTTATCCATTCATCAGTTGTTGGACATTTGGGCTCTTTCTATGATTTGGCTATTGTTGAAAGCACTGCTATAAACATTGGGGTACATGTGCCCCTATGAATCAGCACTCCTGTATCCTTTGGATAAATTCCTAGTAGTGCTGTTGCTGGGTCATAGGGTAGCTCTACTTTTCATTTTTTGAGGAACCTCCGCACTGTTTGCCAGAGCGGCTGCACCAATATTTCTCATTTGTCCCAGATTTGTCCCAGCTACTTCAAATTAGTTTTGGTGTCCTTTGACATGCCCCATTATTTTTCAACCATTTTCTTAATGTAATGGCACTGTAAGATAGAATATATGGGTATAGGGATATCGGGTATGAAGATATTTCAGTAAGTTAAGTGAGATGAGGTGGCTTGGTCCATGGAAGTAACAAAAAAAGTAAAGACAAGGGGTTGGATTCTATATATATTTGGATGATGTAACCAAAAGATTTACTGCTGGAAAGGATATGGGGTATGATAAAAAGAGAGGGATTGGAGATGGTTACAATTTGGAAATGACAAAGGAAGACGGTAGAGCAGGTTTTGGGGAAAGTCTTAGGAGTTTAGTTTTGGGTATGCTGTGTTTGAGATGTACTGAAAACATCCAAATGGGGATTGTATTGGTCTGTTCAGGTTGCTGTAACAAAGTGCCACAGACTAGCTGACTTAAGCAAAAGAAATGTATTTCTCATAGTTCTAGAGGCTAAACATCCATGATCGAGATGTTGGCAATTATGGTTTCTGCTGAGGAAAATGGCCTGCAGATGGTTGTCTTGAGCTGTATCCAATTGGCCTTTCCTTCTGTGATTTTGATGAAGAGAGAGCAATCTCTCTGGTGTCTCCTCTTATAAGGACAGTAATCCTGTTGGATCAAGGCCCCACCCTTGTGACTTCATTTAACCTTAATTACTTCTTTAGTGGCCTCATCTCCAACTACAGTCAAGCTGAGGGTTAGGGCTTCAATGCATCAGCTCTGGAGTGGACACAGACATTCAGTCCATTACAGGAATTTTGAGTAGGCAGTGGAAAAATAAGTTTTGGATTTGGAAGAGATGCTTGAATGAAATCTTTTGAAGAACTTCGGTGTGGAAGAAAACAAAGATATGTGGCACTATCCAGAAGAAAGAATGGCATCAATTTTTTTACTTTAAAGATGGAGCATCAGTAGAATATAAGCTGATAGAAATAATCCAGTAGCAAGAGGAAATTGATAATATAGCAAAGGGAGGAAGGAATCACTGGACAGATATCCTTGGATAGGTTAAAGGGAACGGCTTATAGTCTACAGGTCAAATAAGTACTGTTAGAAAAGGGAAAGAATCATTTATCTCAGGGAAAAGTTGGGATGGAAGAGTGAACGAAAATGCTGGTTGGAGGGTCGATATGATTGTGAGAGTCTGAGAGGGTTTTTTTGTGTAGGAAACAAGATCATCTGCTGAGAATGAAGAAAGGGAGCAAGGGCTGGAGGTTTGAGGTGGAGCAGAGAAGGTGGGAGATAGTCATCTAAGTAAGTGGAGTATAAATGGACTGAATAAAGTATAACATGATTCCCAGAAAGCATTATGAGATTGATTGTTTCATGCTCATGAATATAAAACAAGGAAGACGTGCCAATCTGATTGTGGGTTTTTCTTCATCTAAATTTACCCACCTAAGTTCAGGGGGGAGAGTAGGGAGAGAGTTGGATTTACCCTGTATGTGGTTTTGTCATAAGAAAACAGGAAGAAAGAGATCATTGAAGTCATATGCAGAGATGTGATTATAATCATTGATCATGGAATCTCAATGGGGTCAAGAAAGAAGTAGGATGCAGGGGGTGTTTGAAAGTAAAAGTTGGAGGTGATAATGGATTGTCATTTCTGTGAGGACAAAAGATTGTTTGAAATGGGTGCTACAGGAAGTGAGCAAACAAGGTCAAAGGTGGTGGTCAAAGAATGGGAATCTTGAAATGGAGATTATGAAGAAAATGTTATTACTGGTGACAAAGTCTAGTGATGACCATAAGCAGTGATTGCAAATTCATAAGTTTTGTGTCCATATGTGTGTTTTAATATACTCTGTGGAAAGAAAGAATAGTTCTGTATTACCATGTTAGGGAATATTTGAACTATGTAGAACTCCTAGAATTTTCAGAAGGTAAGTAGGAAAAGAAAAAAAACAGTACATGATTTTATCTCATCTCTATTAAAGCCTGGTTTTGATGACTAGTGATGATTTTTTTTTAACGTTTATTTATTTTTGAGACAGAGAGAGACAGAGCATGAATGGGGGAGAGTCAGAGAGAGGGAGACACAGAATCTGAAACAGGCTCCAGGCTCTGAGCTGTCAGCACAGAGCCCGATGCGGGGCTCGAACTCACGAACTGTGAGATCGTGACCTGAGCCGGAGTCGGACGCTTAACCGACTGAGTCACCCAGGCGCCCCAATTTTTAAGAGTTTAATGTCGTAAAGAGATCCATGGCTGATGAAAGCAGTTCTAAATCTATAAAAAGGTAGAGTTTTGAAAATTGTCTTAATTTCAACAAACTTTGACACACACACACACACACACACACAATTTTTTTTTTCTAAGTTCTGAAATGTGTGGTCACTGTGCAGATCACTGACCATCTGGAACCTACTCAATTCATAGACATTTTCAATCTGGTTTCTAGGCAGTTCTCCTAGAAATGAAGCAGTACCTCCATGAATACGAAATGTTTATGAATAAACTGGAACCGTGGCTTTCCTGCTATTCTTCTGACCTTTGCGAGTCAAATGCAAAATCCAATATCACAGACCACAGATTTTTATAGGATCAAGACATGACCTGGAATTATTTTCATTGCACTTAAGTAGCTGCACTCTGATCTAGAAAATCATTGTTTGTTCAGATCAATGGGTTTCCATTATTTCTTGCTTGGTTTAACTGGTTGAAGTTCAAATTTAACTACAACTCATTCATTAGAAAGATGTGGATTTTTAATGTACATTTCAGTAATTTTTTGGTGTCCCTGAAATATGTTTATAGTGATCATAGTCAGACCAGAGAACGAAGCCTAAGATAAAATTTGATTGAATTACTTCCTATCTCGTGTTCATGGCATTTCATTTTTTAAAAACATTATCTACCTACTTACTTACCCACCTATATACTTATTTATTTATATTCCTCTGAATCTATAATAATGCAGAACTTTGAAAACTGTCTTATCTCAACTAACCACACTACAGAAAAGAATTAAGGCAGCCTTTGGCAGTCTGTACTTGTTATACAAACTTATTTGCCCTTTTTTGGACGCAAAATCCACTAACAGTGGTTCTTTTCCACTTAGGTTCCGACAGCCTTCTCTGCGACATAACTGTACTTCTAGATATAATACCTTGCTTCCTGAGGCTTTCACGGGAGGTTCTGGGTCCATGGCTTCAACTCTCTTTCTGGTCCAGATTCAGTACCAGCAGGTTAAGCTTGGCAACAATGCTCCTCAGGTAAAGGTGACATAGCATTTATATTCATTTATGCCTTCAGATGATCTGTGAGACTGAATATAATTATGTACTGGAGTGAGAAATCCAGGTAAGTCAAAGTGATGCAGGAATTTAGTATAAAATTAAGATCTGGCTGGGATGTTTCTTCGCTTTTACTTATTTTGAGCAGGTATTTAATTTTCAGGGTCTTCTCCAATCCTAAGGACCAGAGGATAGAAAGTCTTTCATTATACTTGGAAACTTTGAATGCTTCTCCTTGATCATGGTTGTAATGCCTTTGCCACTTTTGACCAAATTTCTGGTTCTGGTCTCAAAAAGTAGATGGAAATGACAGGGCAGAATATTATATATATATATTATATGGTAATAAATATATATATTATATATAATATACGCTGGGATCATTTATATATAATATTATATTATATTCATTTCATATTGAGCATGGTGCTAATATATTATTATGAGGCAATGAGCATGTATTAATATATACATATAATACAGACATAGCATAAGATGATATGGAGAAATATATGTGGGAGAACATATTGAGTATGGTATATAGACATAGTGGAGGAGAAGGAGAAGATAGAAATATATAATATATATTATATATTATAATATAGATAGCAATATATAATATATATAATAATTGTGGGGCAGTAGTATATTATATATATATATATATAATAAGATAACATTATATATATTCCCATACATACACTATTTATATTATATATATTTAACTCATATATTTCTATAAGAAGCTTGTATACTTATATTTATACCGTATATGTATACTTAGTATACATTATAATTACATATTATTATCATACATAGTATGATATGCACTCATAATAACATATAGTGAATATGCATTGAAATATATATATTTTACTTAGTATATTTTTCTTTGAGAGGCTGTAGTTTCATATCTACTTGGTGTGATTTCAGAATTCTCAGATCTCTGAAATATTCACAATTGTCAATCGTTTCTCCATTAACTCCCCTTGCTGTCTGATGCTCCACAATCCTTCTTCTTCTTCTGCTACTGACTTAAGCTTTATTCAATGTCAAAAGTTTTCTTTTCACAAATGTCTGTATTTCATGTAGGTAACACCGCAAGCAGCAGATTGCAAGCTCCAGCATACTGCCGCCCTGTATGGGTTTGAAGGAGAGCTAACAGAAAAGCTAACAAAATTTAGATGGAGAATGTGAGTGGGGGAGGGGCAGAGAAAGAGAGGGAGAGAGAGAATCCCAGCAGGTTCTACACTGTCAGCGCAGAGCCCTATGTGGTGCTCAATCTCACAACCATGAGACCACGACCCAAGTCAGATGCTTAACTGATCAAGCCCCCCAGGCGCCCCTCATGTTCTTCTTATCAAACTTCCTCCTCAACTTACTGGTCATATTCAAGCCTGGTTTCTCCTTCCTTCCTTGTTTCCTCCTGCCTTCCCTCTCTTCTTCCTCCCTTTTTACTTTTGCTTTTCCTGGCTCTTTTCCTGTTGATCTGTTTTTTCATTTATAAATCTCAGAAAAATCTCCAGTATATATCTCAGTTTTGATGATTCTGTTTAATATTTATTTATTTATTTTATTTCTAGACATGGTGGTCTCCTTTAATTAGCAGATCCACTTTTTTCCCCCTCTTACATCTCATGAAAAATTTCTTTAATATAGAAATGTACTGTTTTCCCCTCTTCCATTTATAGGACAGAATACAGGGTTTCCCCAGAATGAAGACCAATTGATTTTTTTTTTTTGCTAGATCATCATTATCTGTCTGAGGTATCTATTAACTCTCTCCTCAGGGATTCACCGTCTATGTGTTTATTCTCTGTGTTCTTTTCGCCTCTGATTGGGTATTTGGACTCACGTGTTCTGTTTTGTGCGATTTCAAATTTATTTATTATTTCTGTAATAGTATTGCTTTGATCCCCAGTTTATCTTTTTAGCTTTGTAATCTCATTTTTCACTTTATTCTGTTGTCTTATCCTTTCATCTTGAATGTCTTGTTTCATTGATTTCATGTTGTTCGTGAGTTCTTCTAAAGTACAAATGACTTATTGTGGAGATTTTTTTCCTCTTGTTCTTTGGGTAGAGTTTAACTCAGTAACTGATTCTTTTTGCTGTTCCTCCTCCGTCTCTCTCTCTCTCTCTCTCCTTTCATTTCACTGAACTTTTCCTCCTTATTTTGTTTGGAATTTTAAATAAGAATTACATGTTTCTTATTATAAGAAAACATTCTAGGGGCGCCTGGGTGGCGCAGTCGGTTAAGCGTCCGACTTCAGCCAGGTCACGATCTCGCGGTCCGTGGGTTCGAGCCCCGTGTCGGGCTCTGGGCTGATGGCTCAGAGCCTGGAGCCTGTTTCCGATTCTGTGTCTCCCTCTCTCTCTGCCCCTCCCCCGTTCATGCTCTGTCTCTCTCTGTCCCAAAAATAAATAAAAAAACGTTGGAAAAAAAAATTAAAAAAAAAAGAAAACATTCCGGAAAGGTATAAAGAAGAATTTTTTCTTTGCTCTGCACTCCCCCACCATGATCTCCTGAGGTTACTGTTGCTAATAGTTATATGTATATATCCATAGTTTTCTTTCTGCTATTAATATAAACATATGAATATGCTTTTTTATTTGTTTCAAAAATCGCATCCTACTCCATACGCTCTTTGAGATTTGCTTTTTAAAAATTTGCTTTTGTTTTAAAGATTTTACTTTTAATAATCTCGACACCCAAGGTAGGGTTTGAACTCAAAACCTTGAGATCAAGAGTCACATGCTCCACTGACTGAGCCAGCCAGTCACTCCAAAAATTTGCTTTTTTTAAGGTTAATAATCTCCAGTAAATCTCTTCCCCAAGCACTGATCTAACTCATTTTTAAACAGAGCTGCCTGATAGTCTGTTATATGGATGTGCTAAATCTTATTCAATTATACCACTATCAGGAGCGTTTTCTTTTTTGTTACTGTAAACAATACTTCAGAAGATACTAAAGTGCTACATTTGTGTATACTAATGCTTTTATATTTGTTGAATTGATTCCAAAAGGGGAATTACTGGGGCAGAAGGTATGTGCATTCAGTTATTGATAGACACTATTGGATTACTTTCCAGAATGCTCCTCAAAGTTCATACTTGCTTTAGCATTGCATGTGAGTGGCTATTATAGATATCAAAAAACCAAAAAAAAAAAAAATCATTCTCATGTGTATGAAGTCTTATTTTCAAATTGCTACATTTATTCTCAAATTACCCTGAGTTAATAATTAAATTACTTTAGTTATTATTTTGCTACCACATAAGTTCTGTGTTTTTTTCTTTTTTTTTTTCTTTTCTGGAATTGATTTTATTTTGGTTGATATTGGGCTTTTTTTCCCTTTCATTTTCAGACATTTTTGAACAATTATTCAAAAAAGTCTTTTGAGCACTTTTTGTGCCCCAGGCACTATTCTAGGCACTCTGTATAGTGTCAGAAACAAAGCTGACAACCGTGCCCCACGGAGCTTTCATCCTGGAGTGTGAAAAATATATGAGTAGACAAAAAATAAATATAATAAGTTGACATAGCACTCAGCTGTGTGATATTCATATGGTAGAGAGTGACTAGGTGGTCAGGGAAAACCCGTCTAAGGAACCTGGGGCTTTATTTTTTTTTTTAATTTTTTTAATTTTTTTTAATTTTTGTTTTCAACGTTTATTTATTTTTGGGACAGAGAGAGACAGAGCATGAACGGGGGAGGGGCAGAGAGAGAGGGAGACACAGAATTGGAAACAAGCTCCAGGCTCTGAGCCATCAGCGCAGAGCCCGACGCGGGGCTCGAACTCCCGGACCGCGAGATCGTGACCTGGCCGAAGTCGGACGCTTAACCGACTGCGCCACCCAGGCGCCCCAGGAACCTGGGGCTTTAGAGAAAAAAACAGTAACTATCCATGGGAAGGTCTGGGAGAAGAGCATTTCAGGGAGAGGGAGAGCAATTATCAGGGTTTTGAGATTGGGGCAGTCTTCAGTAATCTCTAATGAGCCCAGACCTGAGTGTTTACAGCAGAGTGAGAGAAAAGGAGGCATACATGAGATGAAGTAAGGAAAACCGGCAAGGGCAATGGCACCTGTGATCTCCTCGCTGTGGTAAAGGGTTTGAATTTCATTGTGAGTGAATGAAGGAGTCCTTTGGGTGGATTCTGGGAGGGATCTAACTTTTGATTTACGTTCTGAAAAGGTCACTCTGGGTTCTCAGTGGAGAATGCATTGTAGGAAATCACAATACATCTGAATGCTTTGTAGGAAACCCAGGGCAGGGGTGGAGGTAGGATAGCTAAAAGGCTTTTGTGGACATTCCCAGTTAAAAGATGGTATTGGCTAGGACTTCACGGTGTCAGTGAAGCAAGGAAAAGTGGACTAGTTCGAGGTAGGTTTAGGAGTAGAAATTGACAGAACTTGCGTTTGGCCTGAGCAATTCAGTGGCCTGGTGTGCCATCTACCAAGATAAGGAGAGAGCAGCAAAGGAGCTCCTGGGTGGGTCGGTCGGTTAAGCACCCAACTCTTGATTTCGGCTCAGGTCACAATCTCAAGGTTGGTGAGATTGAGCCCACTCTTGTGCTCTATGCTGACAGTGTGGGGCCTGCTTGGGATTCTCTCTCTCCCCTCCCTCCCACATCCTTCCCCCACTCATGCATGTGCATGTGTTCTCTCTCTCTCTCTCTCTCTCTCTCTCTCTCTCTCTGTCAAAAATAAATAAATAATACACTTTAAAATAGTCAAGAATTGTCATTTAAAAATAATAGAGCAGAAAAGAGATTTGAGGGATGGTAGATGAAGAGTTCTTTGCTTTTTGAGATTTAAAAACAGTAAGAAATTGGTATTGTGGTATAGATTTCAGAGGTACCAGCAAGTACCAGAAGTACTTGAAATGATGGAATTAATTTTCGTACATGTCAAAGGATGACTTAATAGAAAACTTGACAAGTGAGATCTGGGTACTTGAATGGGGCTAGTCGGATCTAAGGCTTTTTGTAAGCCTTTTGTAAGTAGAATGGGAGCTGGTTTTAATTATGGAGCCCAGAAGCCCAAATGCTAAGGACCTCACTCTTGAGTATCAGCACTTATATTAGCTGTCCTAGTTCTCTGTGGGTAATTCATTCGAGTATTACTAGCTAGGTTACTAGCAAAGACCTTTTATTTTTCTCTAGAGTCTGCATGTGCAACAGATCTAAGTCGAAGTGGGTTAAAAATCCCATATAGAGGGACACCTGGGTGGCTCAGTTAATTAAACTTTGACTCTTGATATTGGCACATATCATGATCTCACAGTTTGTGAAATCAAGACCCATGGTAGGCTTTGTGCTGACAGCACGAAGCCTGCTTGGGATTCTCTCTCTCCCTCTTTCTCTTCTCTCTGCTCTCTTTCTCTCTCTCTCAAAATAAACTGTAAAAAAAAAATTAAAACTGCAATATAGAGACTTTAAAAAAATTTTTTTTAATGTTTATTTATTATTGAGAGACAGAGAGCCACAAAGTGTGAGCACGGGAGGGGTAGAGAGAGGTGGGAGACAGAGAATCTGAAGTAGGCTCCAGGCTCCGAGCTGTCAGCACAGAGCCTGATGCAGGGTTTGAACTCACAAACTGCGAGATCATGACCTGAGCCAAAGTTGGAAGCCCAACCAACTGAGCCACCCAGGTGCCCCACACAATATAGAGACTTTTAACCCATCTCCTTGTGCTCAGTTTCTTACTGCCATGCTCTTTCAGACCATACAGATTTCCAGATCTTTCTGAGATTCTTGATGAGCAGGCTGATGCTTTCCACTGTAGGATCCTTTGCTTCCTTCTCTCTCACACTGTATGCTTTCATTCTCATAGACCATTTTGGAACTTACCCCATTCATGACTGCCTCCCACCTTTTCTCTTTATTGTTGATGGATTACAGATTTGTGATGCTCTTATTGTTATTTTCTTTTTTTTTTTTAAGCTTATTTCTTTGAGAGAGAAAGAGAGACTGGGGGATTGGGAGAGACAGACAGACAGAGAATCCTAAGCAGGCTCTGCACCATCAGCACAGAGCTTGATGTGGGGCCTGAACCCCCAGAGTGTGAGATCATGACCTGAGCTGAAACTAAGAGCTGGATGCTCAACTGACTGGGACACCCAGGCACCCCATGTATTATTATTCTCTAATTTTTTTAAATTTTCTTTCTTAATTTTTTTGAACATTTATTTA